TATAAGTTTCAAAAATAACAAACTACTCTTATAGTGTACACATATGACATATCCTCATTAGAGGGTCTTACACTTGAGACTCTCAATAGGACTACGTAGAGCCGAGATCTAGATATATTTTTAATATATATATATATATATATATATATATATATATATATATATATTATAAATGTATTGATAATTTAAACAAAATTTTAATCAATAAGGCAATTACTTATCTTCTGACAGCTTAGGGGTGCAGATTTATTTATTATGTAAACAATAGTATCACATTTAGAAATAAACCGGATACGAACAGCATACATCATCACTCGGTAACAAAAGGCCTACTATTCATTATCATAACCTTTTTATCTTTTTCTAGATCTAGACTTAAATCTAGTTCTAAACCTAGACTTAGATCTTGAATCTAGATTTAGATCTAAAACTATGTCTAGATCTAGCTAGAACTATATCTAGTTTGTATGACAATTTACAATGGAGATATTGACTTTTATTTTGCAAGGGGAAAGTCTTAAGTCATTTGTACACAAATGTAGCTTAAGTAGGTCAAGAATTATTTTGTTTTTTCGTGTTGCCAATTTATCTAATTTTGTTAGAAGAATAAATCTTTTTTAGTTTCTCTTTATTACATGTAACATGTTATTAATTTTGAATGTATGGATACGGTTAATAATTATTATTTAAAAAAATATAAGTGTACGCTAAATGAAAATATGGAGATGCTATGGAACCGGAAGTCCCGTGTTCGAATCCTGGTGAAGATTCTCGGTGGACCACTTCGGGGGCCGATTTTGAGTTAGTGTTTCCACACAAACCGTTTTTGTAACCTTTTTATTGTAGAGTATTTTTTTCCCGCATTTTTCCCGACATACTTTAAATTTTACGGTTGACAACACTATCAAGGTTAATAAGTGTCCTTTAAGCGTGATCATAGTATACAAATGCGGCTACGGATTTACGTCAGTGCCTCAACCAGAGACCTTAGTTTCCACATACTAAAAAATCGACATTTTTTTAAAAACCAAAATATGCATTGTGATTTTTTTTAAAGAATAAAATTAGAATTAACTGTACCAGCACTCAATTTCTATAATCTATAATATGGCATTCTCTTTTAATATAAGTATTATTCTAAATATTTTTATTAAAGCTTTCGAAAAGTGTAGGAACCTCCACAAAAGTCCTGCCTTCACTTACTTAAATCTGGCCCTGAGCTATTCAGTACATTTTCACGTGCTCTTCCAGGTCAGGATACACGTCAGCTGTTATTCTGTGTTTGTAAAAGAGTGGCTCCAAGTTTTTCCAAGAAGTGCCTTCCACATTATCCGTACCACGGAATACGCCAACGAAATGGAGACGACACTCAAAGAGGCGTTTCACTTCTTGGAATTGCGTAAGATTTTTGTCTATGTTTGCTGTAATCTGCATTATATTATAGTTACAGTTTATATAAGTTAGATAACTAAAACCTAGATTGTACTTTATATTATGCGCTCTATTAAAAGTGGCAGGAGGGTCTCGGTAGCCTTGTTTGGCTACTTACCAGAAGAAGGTAATCTGGGAATCTATATTTTAGCTGCTGTTCGGCCAAACCCAATTATTGAAAGGCATTGGGAGTCAACCCTAAGGAAAATCAGGAGCCGTTACATTTCGGCTATAGCAGCAGACAGTGTACTTTCTGACAGAACCTATGACTGTTGACCTCAAACCTTTTCTTACAATCCTCTACTCTATCAACTGCACGGTCATTACAGTGTGGAAAGAGGGGTGGGTTGGTAATCGCTGTGTGGGCGACAACATTCCTATCCTAGCAAATTCCCAGGCCTTCATTTTATCCCTACCGCACTATGTGGAGAGAAATGGTGACCGAAAAATCTATGGACACCCAGAAAACATTGGGAGAAAAGCGGTGCCAAATAAATAATGTCTCGTTCCTCTACCATCAAAGCGAATGCCACCTAAAGTTAAGTCCTTAACCTGCGTTTTGTGTGGGCGGTAAGGACTCTCCAAAATAAGGCTCCACAGCCGCATGAAAATGTGCCCTTCGAGATGAACAATAGTCACTAAACTAGGCCAACACTATAAAATACTTTATATAACAGATTATAATTCATGCTACATCATGAGGTAGTACCTACGAAATTTGTTTTATATTATACTATATATATTGACCATGGTCAATGAAGACCGTCGCCACGAGACAGCCAACAAAACCAGCACCGTGCTGCCAGAGACAAGGGCTCTACTACGTACATACTACAGAACCTGCAATGAAGAAATGGCCGAGCTGCTGGAGGACCAAAGATTTCTATGGCTGGCCCATTACTCGTCATAGTGGGCGTGAAAAAACAACATTACTCGTGATAGTAGGCATGAAGGAACCATCACTCGTGATAGTAGACATGAAAAAACCATCACTCGTGATAGTAGGCATGAAAGAACCATCACTCGTGATAGTAGGCATGAAAGAACCATCACTCGTGATAGAAGCCATATAAGAACCATTAGGCCTACTCGTGATATATATATACATATATATATATGCCAAAAGCAGTCTTTTTTGGTGAGCTAAAAAGTGGTCGACGTAACAGAGGTGCCTCACGGAAACGCTTTAAAGACAATCTTAGGCGCCAACTTGCCTTAGCTGACATAGAAGAGAGCACCTGGTTGCATGTAGCTTCAGAACGAGACAGCTGGATGTCACTTACAAAGGCTGCGGGATACACATTTGAGGCCAAAGAAAATCCGCTGCCGAAGACAGAAATAGACGGCGAAAAGAAAATCGTAATCGACCACTGGTGGACAATGGTTGTGCTTGCCTTGGTTGTGGTTAAATTTGTAGGTCACTGCTGGGGCTGCGATGAAAAAGTCATGGAAATATAGCTCTCTTATTTCTGTAAGTCGGACTAGAGTTACCCCATGTAACTTTCGAGGCGACAGAGATCGCGGCTCCGAAAAAAAAGATAAGGGGGGGGGGGGGGGAGAATAAGTAATCTTCTCTGTGGGACACTACGCACACACGCCAACTCCCACCCCTTCTTTCCGCACCCGCGCCTTCCTTGCTCTCCAAGGATGCGCTCACAGTCGTTTACCCAAACCCACCCCATTTGGACAACTGTGCCTTTCAGGAAGTGTAAATAGCGGCGTGTGCTACGCCGCGGGTAGGCTCGTACTATATATTATACATTGAATTTGACTATATCTAATGACGGAGATGTATGTTTCACTATTCACTATTATTTGCTTGAACATTGTGTCTGTGTTCCAGCTTCGGTGTCTCCGGACATCATGCAAGACATGGTCAATGAAGACCGTCGCCATAAGACAGCCAACAAAACCAGCACCGTGCTGCCAGAGACAAGGGTGCTACTACGTAGATACTACAGCACCTGCAATGAAGAAATGGCCGAGCTGCTGGATGACCAAAGATTTCTATGGCTGGACCATTACTCGTGATAGTAGGCATGAAAGAACCATCACTCGTCATAATAGGCGTGAAAGAACCATTAGGCCTACTCGTGATATACGTATAGCTTAATGTGACGCTAAATGCCAGACACGAATCATCTAACATATTTCATTGCATTGGACTGAACATTGAAGCTTGTTAGTTAAGTTATATGACAATTAGTCTACACAACAGCAATCGCTGAGATAATGTATAGACATTACTTTTTTTTTTATACTGATGAAATGTATGAATGAAAAAAATAGAATGATTTACTGCGGGTGAGCAATAGGTGAGAAAATCTGTAAACATACACAGAGGAAACATATGGATTTGGACCAAAGTAAATCACGGGATGTTTGGTTCAACTGTATATCTAATTTATGAGTCTGATGTTGAGGCGAAAGTCAATGTATTGGGTAGTATATGGTAGGTAACGTAGTTTTGGTCAGCATCCCACTTCGGAAAAAAAAAATAGGTGAATTAGTCCAAGACTACCATGATACTTATTTTGTTTTAAAACACCATGGTAAAAACACCAGGGTAAATATCCTTTCTTTTTTTCCATTGCTTCTGTATGACGCATCTTTCATGCTTAGAGCCTGTTCAGTGCGCTATGATCCAATCTCTTTTACAGACTTGTATGTTTGTGGGTGGGAGGTATCTAGTAAAAGGGTTTCCGTTTTGCCTTCAGGCTATAGCTCTAGTAGCGATTCCAACACGAGCTTCTTTGATAGCAAGCCAAGTGGTTTATGCCACTCTGCCACACATCCCATGGTACATAGCAGACTATCCTTGTGGGTGGCTCTCCCCCCTGGTGGGCAATATACTCCTCGTACAATTCAACACGTTAAAAATACAACCCTAACCTTTGCAAATATTTTACGGTGTCGAATTTAATACAAAATTATTGAAACGAAAAATCCGTTTTAACACGATTGGAATTCATTTTAAAAAGAAATTATAGTGTTACTATCAATTCATTATTTCGTTTATTTGTTTAGATCAGCCGTCCATTTGTGTGAATAAAAATATATGTATATATTTAAGACTTACTCTATCTATTTCATAGCGGATAACTTTCCACAACTGGTTTTAAAAACAGGCACACTCCTAGTAAAAAGAAAACAAAACCTATTATTTTATGTAGTTAAATGCGGACTTAAATTTGTCAGATTAAACACACACAAGTACTCACACACTGAAATACTCACGCTGACACATAAACAATCACAAATATGCTTCCGCGGACTGTTGTTGAAGTCGTAAGAAGGGAAACAATTCGAATTTGTATGTTGTTAATTTTGCAATTTTTTTAGTTACCTCCTTCAGTTTAAACTAGAAGTTTAGCATATGTAGTATTTTTTTTTTTATTTACGCGTGATATTTTTTTTTTGAGGAAAAAAAGAATTTAACAAAATATTTTAAAAAAGACAATACCACTTTTATACAACTTATAGAGTGATTATTTTTCCCTTGATAACTAATGAATGTGAGATTTGTATAAAACGCACAAAACATTTTTCCGCCCTCTTCCCCCGCCCCCCCCCCCCCCCCCCCCCCATTACGGAAATAATCCTGGTAAAGCGAATGTATAAATCTACTAGACTTTTTAATATTATAATGATAGTCAGATCTAGACCATAGACATAAAATATATGATTTTAAGAGTTTAGACTTATAACTCTTGAGGGAAAACTGCCTACGTCTACTACATGTGAAAATATTAAAAGTCGTTTGGTCTGTATTCATTTCTTTTAATACTTTGAAAAATTAAAACAGTCAAACTAGAGTATCCACCGAGTGGCCAACAAGCTAGTACTTCTTTTCCAAACGATATACATCAACTCAAATTTACAGGGAAATTTTTAGAGTCGTTTTCGAGAATCGCATCACACCCACCTATAAAGTTATACTCCGAAAGTGTGACTTTTAATAATATATATAAACCTTTATGGATGTTAGAGATGGTTGCATGGTCGTGTGCTGTGCGCAGCGAACTATCGTCACGAAGGTCCCTAGTTCAAAACGTACTCGTTGCTATCCCCGTAGGACATAATAATATACAATACTATTTTTGTTTTATCCGACTGAAGGTCCACGATCTGCACAACAAAAATGTGACAATGTCACATTCTTTTATCATCACAAAGATAATATTAGAGACTATTAGGGCCTAATTGTAATACAAACCAAGGTACTCGTGTGTCAATGTTGATTATATGTACATTATTTATTTGTATTTATTTCCATATGTATTCAGTATTATTGATTGGTAGGCTGACACAAAATACAATTCTTGTGGGTACAAAAAGTTTATTCATTATCACAATGTCATATTTATTATGCCTAATAAACAGCGTAAACAAACAATGAGAGAAAAAAAAAGTGCTTGATAAAGGTGTATCATGATTGCTGGTAGAACCTCGGTTAGAATCTCTTTCTCTCTCTCTCTCTCTCTCTGTATATATATAATATATATATATAAACGGTTTTGATTTCTTTTCGGCACATACATACATACATACATATATACGTATATGTATGTGCCGAAAAGAAATCAAAACCGTTTGACCAATCTTGATAAAACTTAGCTTAAATGTTCCTTGGGTGCTAACTTAGACCGTAGTGTATGTATTGTAGCCCTAAAACAAACTTAAAACCCTCAAAAAAAAGTCGACCATCTCTTTGAAAGTATAGTATCTTATAAATCTAGGCCATGTTTACTATGTTGACATGAGAAAAGATCGAATAGATCTAGATCTAGAACTAATTTTAAGAACTAAAAATTGCTCAGATAGTTTTTTACTTTGACACATGAAAATACTAAATATAGTCCATTGATTTCATTATTTAATAAAATTAAAATTCTTTCCTTATATCTGCGAATTTAGAATTCCTGGGTACATTCTTTTATTAGACATTACCGAAAGGGTACACATCTCTCTATTCCTAGGTCTAAAACTCTAATTCAAATGATAGAACTTCTCTTCTTAAAGACAGTTTTATACTTTAACACATGAAAATTCTAATTATAGTACATTCATTTCATATTTTAATCAAATTAACATTCAAATCTGTTTTTCCTAAGCATTTTTTTTATACATTCATTCGCTAAAGCTGCGAAGCCGTGTTAAGATATATTCATTCATGAATCGCGTACTAAAAACGGTCACGCATGCGCAGAGCAAAGCCTTCTCGCAGCGCAGAATGAACTCTCCAAGCCATACACTGACAAACCTCTTCTCTTTTGTGATGTTTAAACATTTTTTCTACTGTTACTCTATTCTGAACTTAAAGTGTTCGAAAGTATTTCAAATCTCAAATCTATTTTTTCATGTTGACATTGTCTCAAATGCACTGTAGATACCTCAGAATATTCATATTTGTTGGTTTTCAATACCAGAAATAGTGTTCGCTGGGGGAGTTGGGGGAGTTCCTAGCGCTCCCCCAGGCCCCTTTGCTAGTAATGGCGGGGAGTCTACAATTTTTCCACTAACTCCTGGAAGAACCAATTCTATGGCACAATAAACGTCTTCAGAAAGAATGATGGGTCAGAATGTAATAAAGATTATGTACACACACACACATACATACATTTAAATATTTTTTTCGCGGGGGGAAGGGGGGGGGGGAAATCCCCCCAAACCCCCACCTTCCGAAAAAAATATCCTGGCAACGCCCATGGCTGATATACAATTTGTACAAAAGCGCATTCTTCCCTAATGCTATTAGAGCATGGAATGGGTTGCCTTAGCTAGCCAGGAAAATCAGTGACTTGGCAGAATTTATGTCATTGGTTTTAATATGCATGACTAAATGCATGACGCGTAGGACGTAATCATCTTCTATTTTGAGGTAACGTCTGTATCGTATAAGAAGATAAGATAAGATATACAAAAAAGGTTTGTTATAAAAGAAGTAGACCATTTTTTTTTAAATGTACAATTAAATTTTTTTTTTATTATCAATCAGGTCGATCCATTCTTAGACCACATCTTTAAAATTTCGCCGTGACAGCGTAGCCGGTATTAGCACATTATTTCATGCAAATCTTTTGGAGTGAGTGATATCTTTTAAGTTATTTATTAAAATAAACGTAATATTATCACTATATAAAGAGATTATTGGCAGTTTAAAACATGAAATGGATATACTAAGTGTTTGGCACTGTGAACGTGTGTAAATATGTGTGAATATATGTGAATATATGTGAATATGTGTGAAATAAGCATTAAAGCACAAGTTCCATGTCTCTATAGTAGCAACAGTCTAATGACAAAGTCACGTGAGGAATCATCTTAAAACTCAACTAGCAAAGATGTTTACCACGAACGACTGTACAACTGTTTATATGGAGACACGGCCATATCGACATGAGGAAACAGTCGTCTGAAAGTTAACCCAATGACTTCTGCTAGAAGAAAAAAAGATAAAAAACACAGTACTGTGGAGTTTTTTAAAATATTTTGGAACAAAACAAAAACGGAGCGGATGGGGAGCTAGACTGAGAAAACAAGCTAGACAACAGTCTTTTTAAAAATAGCTCTAGTCAACTTGTAACTTCTAGGAAATGGTTTAGCTGAACAAGCTGCTTGGAGGTACAGCCCAACGACCAAATATCAACAAAGCTGGGGGGGGGGGGGGGTTGAAAGGGCATCACTTTTGAAGTGATTTGTTTCCTTTTAGAGAGAAAGAAAGAGAGAGGGAGAAAGGGAAAGAAAGAGAGAGGGGAAGAGAGGGTGAGAGAGAGAGTGTGTGTGTAATGTTTGTTTGTAATGTTTGTAATGTTTGTGTGTAATGTTTGATAAAATGAATACTCGGCGCTGTTGACCTACGACGTCACGTGTGACCCTGTGCTGGACAGAGTGGGACGAATAGATCAAATTATCCGGAACCAAAGTGTCATTGGAAGGTTGTCATAATATGGAAAGTACTTGAACCACTAGGAGTACAAACTCTTTGAAGGGCCGCCATAACCTGGGAAAGAGTGCAGCGATCATCCAGTCAAAATGTAGTGACAATAGTTACATAAATCCGAAGCAGCTTCATTTTATAATCTCGATGTTCCACATTGTCACAAGCGTTGATGAAACGACTATATGTATTTAAATCAAATACAAATAAACAGAGCAAATATCTGGCACACAAACTCGAGCTCGGCCCCTGAGAGTCTATCATAATCACACATTATTCACCCACAAACATTGGGCCTAAATCATAACATTAACCTCCAATTGACCAATAATATAATTTTTATTATCAGAACAGAAGAATGGAAACGTGGATGCTCTCCTGCCATCAATTAGTTCGCCATACAGAATGTCTAGGGTAAATCGACACTAACAGTTGGGAAAAAAAGAGGCACTAAACGGATCCACTTAGAAAGCAAAAAGGAAGGATTGCAGGTAGCATACACACCCAAAAGTAGAAAGAAAGGTGAAACAGGGACTGGTGCTCAGACTGTGACCGCAGCTGTGTATCAAGGACTGGCCTCTTTAGTCAAGTGAGACATTGCAAAGGGAAAAGATGTTCTCTTGAGACGTCAACTGCAACAGATTCACAGAAAGAATGTGTCTAGATCATAATGGGATTGAGCCTTGACCTTATTTGAACATTTGTTTCAGTTTTTTTGTTATTGTTTTGTAAAATCTTGCTGCCATTTCTGTATCTTCTCTTAGCTACAAAACGAGGGTCAGCCTTGACTTTTGTTTTTCACAACTGCTCACATTTTATAACCTTACTGGATTAGCCAGCTTTTAATTAGTTCTTGTTTCACAACCACTAAATCTGAGCTATGTACTGATATTGAACTTATATCCTCAGTCGAATTTTTTTTCCTTTTTATTTATAACACAAAGTTTGTCAAAGTCTAAATAAAGCTGTAGACCTAGTACTAAAGGCTACCTGTCAAGTGGGTTCACCAATACTAGTTATACGTGGGCCTACTCGTCTCGCGAGTTGTTGTTTTTTCCTGTCCTCGCGGCCGACGTTGGTCTTCTTTCTGTTTAATTTAGTTACCTGTCTATTTATGTGTTTTCTTTTATCTCAGCCCCACCCGTCTCTCCTAGCGTTCATTCAACGCCCCAAGACTACTAAAACTAGATCTAGTTTTTGTCGTGTAGGCGGAATGAGTGTGTCGTGTGTAGTCGCTTAAACATGCTGAGACCTTATGAATAAAGCCTAACCGTTCTTCCCTTAACAGGCCCTACTAAGGTGTGTTTCGTTTCGCTTGAAACTTTCCTTGTTCATTTTTAGCTAACTCGGGTCATAATGTGTTCAAATATTGGCGCTGTCTGACTCGCTAATTTTGTTTTGTTTCGCATTCAAAAATCTGTTAGTTACCGTCGGCTTTGATTTTGTCTCGTGTTGACACTTGTGTTCGCGTCTGTTTACTGTCTCACGGTGTAAATACGGATGCGCTATGACCATGAGTGGCCCGGAATGGAAATCCTGCTAATGACTTGGTCAACATGTAAATACGAGCAGCCGATTAGACTCTTCTGACTTTACGTCACAAAATGTCTCAAAAACGTTAACATTGGTGACAGAAGTCCCAGTGTTGGAGAATCGCTTATTTAACCAACCGTTTCGGAGTTAGCAGTTTTAATAATAATAATAATATTTATGTTATTTATGATTGTGTACAATTAATTCTTGAAATGGATTATTTATTTGTGTATTCATAAAAAAAAAAAAATTCATTGAAGGCCATTGCTGATTGCAAAGGAGAAAAATGTCTCAAAGATATAATTCTCTGAGATTAAACTATAACTGTATTGGAGGTCAATATGGAAAAATTCTGTACATATCTCCTGGTCTTGCACAGAATGACCACACTACAGGTAAAAAAAAATTATTGGTTACCATTAACTAATTCTTCTATAGATGTTGCCTGTTTTCACTGAGGATGACCATCAAGTCTTATCTTATCTAGTCTAGATCTTATTCTTTCTTTTGCATAGCTTCTTAAATTTGGTTCTAAACCAGACCTTATAGATGAATATATATAGATCAGATAGACCTATTAAATTTTCTATATTTTCTTTTATGGATTTTAATGCAATTTCAGAGGTTGGTTAATGTCTTTTTCCGCTAAAAATAATTTTTGAGAATTGATTTTCGTCTATATCTAATCTATATACTAAATCTATATAGTACATCCTAAATATATATACTAGATCTATATACTAAAGTGATCTATATACTACATCCTAGATGTACATACCAGATCTATCTATATACATTTAAAAATTATGACGCTTTTTAGTTTGAGGGGACAAAAAATAGAAAAACAACTATCAATAAGAATTTAATTACTTTCTATGTAGACCTAAGTGATACTTTTTATCTGCCTTAACATCACCCCCAAATTAGTAATTATAGATCTTTTTTTAAAAGTATTTTTATATCATTATTTCAATGGGAGTAGCCAGTAGGCTACAAGCTAGCCAAGTATAGGC